GCTGCATTCCTAGTAATAAGGGAAGAAGGCAGATGTCAGTGATTCTCGGATTTTCTGTTCCTGAAAATTCTTTTTAAAACTGCGCTGATCGGATTTTGAAACAGCGATAGCGTTTCGACGATTCAGCAGTTGCAAATTTTAAAGGAGTGTAAAGATTCAGTGCAGAATTAGTGTTGAATGTGCACATAATAATATTCAAACCCACTCAAATCTCCCTCGTAATCATAAATGAAAAAAGTATCGTTTTGGAGAGCAAAGATAAGCGTTCTGGATTCAGATTCTACAACTGGACGGTGTTCTATCGTACTCGCGTTCACATTTTTGGCAGCTGAAATCGGATTTGAATGTGGCATCGTTGCATGTTCAAATAAGTGATGAGGCGAACGATCAAGTAGTACGTCAAAAGGTGTTGCAGTTGTTGAAAGAGACTGGAGCGACACAAACCTCAGTTCAGGTTTGTTTGCGGTTCCGATTCCATTTCTCTTACGATTAGACCCTCGCTCAATTCCGACACTCTACTCATCCAGTTTTAATCTTTTTTTGGAGTCCGATTTAGCGTTTTCTTCTTGCTTTTGAATGGTTTTTCGCTGGTTAAGTTGTATTGGAATGGGGTGATGAATTCTGTGATGTTGGGTACTTTGGCGAGTGGAGAAGCTGTTTGAAGTAGTTTATCAGTTTACATATGAAGACGGTGATCAGAATCTGTTTCGTTGTTGTTGTTATTTAGTGTAATTAATTTCAGGTTGAGAAAGAGACATTTTTCCATCAAATCCAGTCGATGTGTCCATCGTATCACATTCCGTATCGAGTCAACAAAGGTGTTCTGGTTGGTTACAGTCATCATGATCACTGCGATCATACTGCGGATCATGCACATGGACATGGTCATAGCCATGAGCATGAACATGAGCATAAGCATGAGCATGAGAATGAGGCACACCACGGTCATAGTCATGGAGGGCCGCATTCTCAAGACGGATCTCATGGACACGGGCATTCACACGGCGGAGCAGAAGAACATTATTCGAACGCTACCCAGCAGCTGTACGGTAATGATGCAGCACATTCTGCATATGTCCAAAACCAGTACCAGTTTGATTCGACAGCACCATCGTTTGCGGTTGGTTTCTTGTGAAATGAAATCAGAACATACTGAATTTAGAAGATACTCATCCAAAATTCTTTTGAATATCATCGATTGTTGATTAATTGAGTAGTTGAACAGTTGATCAAACAAGTTAGTTGAGGTGCTGAAATGATTTTGTTGTGTGATGTGTGGTACAGTACAGGCATAAATTTAATTTTGCGTTTTTACGTTGATATAATTCGGTTTGTGATCGTTATGGTTGGACTGCGTGAGCAAATGGCTGAATTGGAGAAAATAATGAGACGTAGTTTTTTCGTCTTTGGGAAGTTACAGTTGGTTGTTTGAAGAGAATTTGTAAAAATTATGGAAAATTCTGCAACAATAATTATTATTTCAGGTTGCCCCATCGAATGGCTATATCTCAGCAAAATCTTGATCTTGAACGATATTTATTGTTGAATTATAAATCGATGGTTTGATTTATTGACTCGAAGTGATATACGTATGTGTATATTTATGTTTGATGACACAAAATGAACTCATCTGATCAACAAATATTCAACAAATCTCGTGTTGAAACAAACCAATTTTGTGATGTTTTAAATTGATGCACTCAAGGCAACGGAATCATCATCCGTGAGCCATTTGAAATGCTATTTTCAACAGTATTCATTTCTGTTTCATTAT